TCCTGAAACTCTTCCAAAAAATTGAAGAGGAGAGAACACTCCCAAACTCATTCTATGAGGCCAGCATCACCCTGATACCAAGGCCAGATAAGGACACTATAAGAAAAGAAAACTGTAAGCCAATATCCCTGATGAATATAGATGCAAAAATTCTCAAAAAAATCTTAGCAAACCGAATTCAACAGTACTTTAAAAGGATCATACACCATGATCAAGTGGGATTTATCCCTGGGATGCAAGCATGGTTCAACATACACAAATCAATGTGATACACCACATTGACAGAATGAAAGATAAAAATCATATGATTTCAATAGTTGCAGAAAAGGCATTTGACAAAATACAACAACCTTTCATGATAAAAACAGTCAATGAATTGGGTATAGAAGGAAACATGCCTCAACATAATGGAGGCCATATATGACAAGCCCACAGCTGACAACATACTCAATGGTGAAATGTTGAAAGCTTTCCCTCTAAGACCAGGAACAAGACAATGGTGTCCACTCTCACTAATCTTATTCAACGTAGTATTGGAAGTCCTAACCAGAGCACTCAAGCAAGAAAATGAAATAAAAGGCATCCAAATCAAGAAGGAAGAAGTAAAATTGTTTCTGTTTGCAGATGATGTAATCTTATATATAGAAAATCCTAAAGATTCCACCAAAAAACTGTTAGAATAAACAAATTCAGTAAAGTTGTAGGATACAAAATCAACATACAGAAATCAGTTGTGTTTCCACACATTAACAATGAAACATCTGAAAAGAAATAAAGAAAACAATCCTATTCACAATAGCATCAAAAACAATAAAATACTTTAAAATAAATTTAACCAAGGAGGTGAAAGATTTCTACACTGTAAACTACAAGAGTTTGAGGAAAGAAATGGAAGAAGATGCAAATGGAAAGCTATCCCATATTCAAGGATCAGAAGAATTAATATTGTTAAAAGTCCATACTACCCAAAGCCATCTTATAGAATCAATTCAATTCCTATCAAAATTCCAATGGCGTTTTTTCACAGAAATAGAAAAAGAATCCTAAAATTAGTATGGAACCACTAAAGGCCCTAAATAGCCAAAGTAATCCTGAGAAAGAAGAACTAAGCTGGAGGCATCAAACCTCCTGATGTCAAACTACACTACAAAGCTATATTAATCAAAACAGTATAGTATTGGCATAAAAATGAATGTAATAGACCAATGGAACAGAATTGAGAGTCCAGAAATAAACCTTCACATATAGTCAACTAATATTTGACAAGGGAGCCAAAAATACTCAATGGGGAAAGAACAGTCTCTTCAGTAAATGGTGCTGGGAAAACTGGATATCCACATGCAAAAGAATGAAATTGAACTCCTGTCTTAAAGAGTCACAAAATTTAACTCGAAGTTGATTAAAGACTTAAACATAAGACCTGAAACCATAGATATCCTAGAAGAAAACATAGGGGAAAAGCTCCTTGACATTGGCCTTGGCAATTACTTTTTGGCTATGACACCAAAAGCACAAGCAACAAAAGCAAAAATTAATAAGTGGGGCTATATCAACCTAAATAGCTTCTGCACAGCCAAAGAAATAATCAACAAAATGAAAAGGCAACCTACTGAATGGGGGGAAATATTTGCAAATCATGTATCTGATAAGGGGTTAATATCATATGACTGAACTCATCATACATATGAACTCATATGACTCAATAGTAAAAAAACCAAACAATCCAATTTTTTTTTTTTAGGAAGATTAGCCCTGAGCTAACATCTGCTGCCAATCCTCCTCTTTTTGCTGAGGAAGACTGGCCCTGAGCTCACATCCGTGCCCATCTTCCTCTACTTTATATGTGGGACACCTGCCACAGCATGGCTTGCCAAGCGGTGCCATGTCCGCACCCGGGATCCCAACAGGCAAACCCCAGGTCGCCAAAGCGGAACATGCGCACTTAACAGCTGTGCCACGGGGCCGGCCCAAATCTGATTTTTAAAATAGGCAGAGGAAATGAATAGATATTTTTCCAGAGAAGAGATACAAATGGCCAACAGGTACATGAAAAGGTGCTCAACATCACTAATCATCGGGGAAATGCAAATCAAAACAATGAGATATCACCTCACACCTGTTAGAATGGCCATCATCAAAAAGACAGGAGATAACAGGTGTTGACAAGGATGTGGAGAAAAGGGAACCCTTGCACACTGTAGCTAGGAATGTAAACTGGTGCAGCCACTATGGAAAACAGTATGGAGGTTCCTCAAAAAACTAAAAATAGAACTTCTATATGATCCAGCAATCCCACTTCTGCATATATATCCAAAGGAAATGAAAACAGGCTATCAAAGAGATATCCGCATTCCCATGTTCATTGCAGTACTCACAACAGCAAAGTTATGGAAACAACCTAAGTGTCCATCAATGGATGAATGGATAAAGAACATGTAGGATATGTATACAACAGAATGTTATTTAGTCATGAAAAAGAAGGAAATCCTGCCATTTGCAACAACATGGATGAAACTTGAGGGCATTATGCTAAGTGAAATAAGCCAGACAGAGAAACACAAATACTGTAGGATATCACTTATATGTGGAATCTAAAAAAGCTGAACTCACAGAAACAGAAAGTAGAGTAGTGGTTTCCAGGGGCTGGGGAATGGAAGAAACGGAGACATGTTGGTCAAAGGGCACAAACTTCCAGTTATAAGATGAATAAGTTCTGGGGATCTAATTGTGATTATAGTTAATAATACTGTATTACATACTAAGTTACCAGGAGAGTAAATCTTAAATACTCTCATCACAAAAAAGAAATGGTAATTATGTGACATGATAGAAATGTTAGCTATCGTTATGGTGGTAATCATTTTGCAGTATACAAGTGTATCAAATCAATATGTTGTACACCTTAAACTTACATCCTTCTTAAAATGTCACTTATCAATAATTATCAACTTACAAATTATCAACTTACAATGTCACTTATCAATAATATCTCAATAAACCTGGAGAAAAAAAGCTATCAAAGAGATGGTTTATTTTAATAGCAACTGACCTGAGTTGCATTTTCTAGTGGTTTTTTCAGCCACAGAAGTGAACAAAATCTTCTAGGACAAAGTAACAGTGTAGATGGGACCCAGAGAGAGACTGATTGTACTCTATGATAAGTATTCTCCAGAATATAAAATGAAGTCATGAACAGGAGGCCAAGCTTTTGTTCTCTTGTATCTCTCTCCCTCTTGCCTCTTCTCTGATTTTCTTCCACACTCTGAGCATTCTAAGTCATCTTATGTGTGGTCAGAAAAATCTATAAGGAAGATTGTTTCTCTAGACTCTGGCTCTATCAATTATCCCTTTTCTGCTCTATTTTCAACATTTTCTTGTCTACCTACAGACACATTTAACTTTCCCTACTCTAAAACAAACTAAAAACACTTATGTCCACCCTATCTCATTACAAACTCCCATCCTTTCTCCCTTCTTCCCTTCAAAGCCAGATTTCTGGAAGAATTAATCTACATCCAGTCTGTACTTTCTCCTTCTCCATTCATTAAATTCACTGCAGTCTGGCTTCCATCATGATTCCAGGAAACTATAAAGGAAAGCTTCCAAGATGTTGGATTCACTGGCCTGTATTCACATAGCCTAAGGCTATTAATTGCTCTTATTTCTCAAAATTTCCTCTTCTTGACCTCTGGGACACTACTGTCTCCTCATTCTCCTATCTTTCTTACCTTTCCCTGTCAGAAGCTCCTCTTCTTTCCAATTCTTACTCTTTGGGGTTCCCCAGGATTATGTCCTAGTCTCTCTTATAGTCTTACACCACAAAGGAAAAAGTTAATCTATTTACACAGCTTCAACTATCAGTGATAGATCCCAAAATTTTTAATACTAGCCCCCAAACTCCTGTCTAAGCTTGAGACCTCTATTTCCAAATTACTTTTAAGCATTCCTACCTATAGGCTATAAGGGTACCTTAAGCTCCTCTAGTCTAAAATCAGACTTATCCTCTTTACTGCCCAAATCCTCTACAACCTTTTGGATTCCTGGATTATATTCTCATTCCCAATCATAAGACAGGTTCCCAAACTAGAAACTTTTGCCCCAACTACTTCTTCTCCCTAATCCTGCACATGTAATCAATCAGCATACAATTCTATTGATTCTACCTCATAAATACCACTCTGTCAAACCCAGGGTTTCCCCTGCACTGCCACAATGTGGGTTCAGACTCTTATAATATCAACTTGGACTACTTACCACAACACCTGCTAACTAGTCCTGCCATCATTCTCTCCCCACTCCAGACCAGTTCAGCTTCTACATTGCTTTCAAAATGATCTTTACCAAACCACTCTTTTGATTCTCCAGTGTCTACAGGATAAAACCCAAACTCCTCAGTCTAGCACAGTAGGATCCAGTCTAGCTTAGAAGCCTCACTTTCTACCTCATCCCCAACTCCCGCATACTAAGCTTCTGACCATTCCACAAACACACCAGACTATTTTATGTCTCCACGTCTTCATACGTTGTATTCCCTCCTCTCAGAATGTCCTTCTCTTTCTTCCTCGCCTGACAATGTCCTAGATGTCTGAGAAGAGAGAATTTGCTTTATTTTCTACAGCATCCTCCATGTGTCTGACATGTGGATGGTCCGCAGCAAATACTTATAGTGTGATTGAATAAGAGAGAATTCATGCCTCAACTCCACGCTTCACTCTCAGCCATACAGAATTTCAATCCCTGCACCCATGCTCTTACCTCCATATCTTTGCACACACTAACACTCAGGAAAAAAATGTATACGTGCCTTCTCAGGAACCAGAAACTAGCTATCATTTATTGAGCAGTTTTGCTAAACGATTTATGTTCATTAGCTTATTTTAATCCTCAATCAGTACTGTGAGGTAAATATTATCATCATTTCACAGATTTAAAAAAACTCGGAGATGTAGAAGGTTTAAATAACTTTTCCATCTTGTAAATGATGGGATTTAAATACAGACCTTCAAAGCCTGAACCTTTAACCACCGTGCTCCAGACAATGTGTATCACACACAAGCGACTGCTCCATCCTCTCTGCTCCCATACCACTCCGTTCACCTCTCTGTAATGACAGTTGCCACATTAGAATGTAATATTACTGTTTACACAATATCATCTCCACTAGACTGGACGTTCCATTGTAATAGCAACAAAGTCTCACTAATCTTTGTATCCCCAATGTGTTTAGCACATTGTACGTGCTCAATAAATGTTCACTGTACAAATTCCAAAATCTCTCTCTGGCAATATCCTTTTGGTTGCTGCCTTGCTTTTCTTCTTCTTGCTGTATCCTTTCATTATTCATTCAACTATAAGCACTAAAGGCTGACAACTTGGTAGTGTTTAATAAAGATCACCTTTCATATACTAAGTGAATGTGCATGAAATGAGCAACAGAGGAATAGATCAGGAGTGCTTCCTTATTTGGGGGGAAGTTTATTCTGTAGCATTATCAGTCATATTAATATCATATTTTTAAACCACTTTCTTGTATTAGATACAAATAAACATAGGACTAATGACGTATTATTTTAGGAATCAAGGTTCTCAGTATAAAACAAAAGAAAGTACAATCACAGACTCAAGAATTTAGGAACACCATTGAGAATTACTGTTGAGCTTATTAATCATGTTGATATTAACTCTTTTATTGGTATCATGAAGAATATAGAAAACTGTTAAAGATAGCAGTTAGGAGATATTCTCTAACTCAAGGGGAATATTAGTAGAATGAACCTATATGTTCTGACCTTGAGTCAGACGAAGCCATGTGAAATATCCAGAATCCAATTGGATCTAATTTTAAGGATCCTTAGGAGTTATATAATCCTATGAATATGAAAGAATGCACAATTCCCTCAGGTCTTATGTCTTAAAATTAAATGCAAAAGACATTACTACGGAACATCAAGTTTAAGAGTCTCTAGAGATATTTACATATCTTAACATATGTAAATTTATATATCTTAAGATTTCAAAACTCAATCAATTGATCAACTCAGGTAGTAGCTGCAGACTTTTAGGGATAAAAAATATGTAACACAAAAAGGGAACCCAGGTATTTATCCAAAGAATACAAAAACACCAATTTGAAAAGATATATGCATCCCTATACTCACTGCAGCATTATTTACAATAGCTAAGACAGAAACAGCCTAAGTACCCAAAGACGGATGAATGGATAAAGAAGACGTGATATATACATACACGATGGAATACTACTTAGCCATAAAAAGATGAACTCTTGCCATTTGCAATAACAAGGATGGACCTTGAGGGTATCATGCTAAGCAAAATAAGCCTGACTGAGAAATATAAATACCGTATGATTTCATGCATATGCATAAGATAAACACGACAACAACGAATAAACAAACATATAGATACAGAGAACAACATATTGGTGGTTACCAGAGAGGAAGGGGGGTGAGGGGAGGGCAAAAGAGTAAAAGGGGACATTCGTACAGTGATGAATGGAAACTAGACTTTTGGTGGTGAACACGACGTAGTGTGTACAGAAGTTGAAATATAATGATGTACACCTGAAATTTTTAAAAAATTGAACCGAGGGAAGTGGGCTAGATGATCACTCCCCTATTTATGTATTTAGGCATACATTTATGTATTAATTTTTTCTTCTTTTGCCTGGAGTATTTTAAGGCAAATCCCAGATATCATATCATTTCACCCAGTTATTCCTCTCTTGAAGTTATGGAATCATTAACATAATCATATATAGTTGGCCTTCCATATCCAGAGATTCCATATCCAAGGATTCAACCAACTGCGGATTGAAAGGCCTACGATGCTTGTGTCTGTACTGACCATGTACAGACTTTTTTCTTGTTATTATTCCCTAAACAATATAGTATAACAACTATTTACATAGCATTTACATTGTATTAGGTATTACAAGAAATCTAGAGATGATTTAAAGTACACAGGAGGATGTGCATAGGTTATATGCAAATACTATGCCATTTTATATAAGGGCCTTGAGCATCCACGGATTTTGGTATCTGTAGGGGTCCTGGAACCAATCCCTCATGGGTCCCCAGAGACGACTGTATAGTTTAGTGTTGCCCATTGGGATCTCAAACAAGATTTCTCAGCCCCCCAGCCCAATTGTCTGCTGGTAAACAGCTTCAGTTAACTGATATGGTAACTGCCCTCTTAGGTGGGTAAACATCTTTTAATTTGAGAAGCTTTAGAATAAAGCATAGAAATATTTAAGAGACCCATTATATGAATATTTTTTGTGTGTTAAAATGGTGGCTTTGCATATTTGGTGTTCTATGTATTTGTCACCAGAGGGTGGATTCATTCTGGTAGAATGACATCTTTGTAACCAATTTGAAATGTTGAAACAATTTAAATTTTTTTTTATTTTAAGGTGAAATCTTACCAAATTATTCTTTTTTTCCATCCAGCTTTATTGAGGCATGATTCACAAATAAAATTGTATATATTTAAAGTATACAATGTGGTAAACGATGACCACAATCAGCTTAATTAACACATCTATCACTTCATATAATTACCTTGTGTGTGTGTCTGTGTGTGTGGTAAGAATGTTTAAGATCTACTCTGTTAGCAAATTTCAAGTTAACAGTATAGTATTATTAACTATAGTCACCATGGTATACATTAGATCCCCAGAACTTATTCATCTTATAACTGAAGGCTTGTACCCTTTGACCAACATCTCCCCATCTCCCCCACCTCCCAGCCCCTGGTAACCACCATTCCACTCTCTGTTTCTATGAGTTTGACTTTTTTTTAAGATTCCACATATAAGAGAGATCATACAGTATTTGTCTTTCTCTATCTGGCTTATACTTAGCATAATGCTGCAAATGGCAGGATTTCCTTCTTTCTTATGGCTGAATAATATTTCATTGTATATATATACCACATCTCCTTTATTTATTCATCTGTCGATGGACACAGATTATTTCCATATCTTGGCTACTGTGAATGATGCTGCAATGAACATGGGGGTGCAGATATCTCTTCGAGATACTGATTTCATTTCCTTTGGCTATATACCCAGGAGTGGAATTGCTGGATCATATTGTAGTTTTATTTTTAACTTTTGAGAAACCTCCATAGTGTTTTCCATAACGGCTGACATTCCCAACAGTGCACAAGGGTTCCCTTTTCTTCATATCCTCACCAACACTTGTTACCTCTTGTCTTTTTGATAAAAGTCAGGAATACTTCTTGAATTAACTTTCTCTTTCAGCAGCCTAATCTACTGACACTTTCTCTTCAACCTATTAATGTTCTCAAGGCTTTGCCCATCTTAAAAAAAATAGTGCTCCTTCAACCATGCTTTTTTGTCTAGCTACTGTCTGCTTTCCCTACTGCCCTTTCCCTTTGCAAAACATCTTCAAAGAATTGTCTACATTTGCATATCTCCCATTCACTTTTTTTAAAATTCGGAAACACTTTAAGCAAACAAAAAATGGTAAAGAACAACATAATAAACACTCATGTACCCACAACTCAGTTTGTTAAATATTAACATTTTGCCAAATTTCCTTCCTAGTCTTTAAAGAAATAAAGCATTATTGCTACAGCTTAAATATCATGTGTACCTATCACTTCCGCAATCCTCTTCCTACCTTCTCAGAGGCAACCACTATTTAGACTTTGGTATGTCTTATTTACATGTCTGTTTTGATATCCATACTACATATGCATGTATCCCTAAAAAATATGCAGTCCTGGGAGATGTGGGATCAATAGGCCCCAATGAATCATGTCTCCTTGAATCCACACCCTTGGGTGGCCTCCTCCCACACTGACTCTGGATTTGGTCATGTGATTTGCTTTGGCCAATGGGATATCTACAAATGTGACACAAGTAGAAGCTTGAAAAACACTTGTAGGCACCATGGGGTCAGCTGGTTCTGGCTTTCAGGGAAGAGGACACAGGGGCTACTTTCCCTCTGCTACATCCACCACTGCCACGATTCCGGTGTTGCTGCTGGTAGTGGTGGTAGTGGGCTGCTGGACTGCCATCTACCTGACTGACTTGGTGCTGAAGGTGAGGGCCTTGGGCCTAAAACCCAAGCCCGTGGTGCCCAGGGCTGGGGCACAAGGCCGGAGGCCATTTCTCTTCCCCTGCCTAGCACCTCTTGGGTTGGCAGCCACATGGCCGATGCCCACATGTGCCCTTCCACATGGTGCCTGGCTCTGTGGCATACATAAAGCACGGTGGGCCACAGGAGGGGTGTGGTGGCCTGAGCAGCTGCTGTAGTCGCATTGCGGGGTAGTGCAGGCTCTGCAGCCTTTGGGCCCTGCCCACAGGCACTGGTAGTGGGCTCGGGAGGGCCAAGGTCCTGCCAGACCCTGTGGCAGTGCACCAGGGAGGAAAATAAATGTCTGCCTAGGAACAGCATTGTTTTCCCTCAAATTGTCTTTAAGCCCATGACCCTCTAGGGACTCTGGTGTTGGAATGAATGTAAATCAAGTTGTGATTTAGGTCAGAAGTCTCAAACTTTAAAGTGCATACAATCATCTGGGGTTCCTGTTAAAATGCACATTCTGATTCAGCAGGTCTGGGGCGGAACCTGAGATTCTGCATTTCTTTTTTTTTCTTTAGGATTTTATTTTTCCTTTTTCTCCCAAATCCCCCCAGTACACAGTTGTGTATTTTTATTTGTGGGTCCCTCCAGCTGTGGCATGAGGGACGCTGCCCCAGCATGGCCCAACAAGTGGCGCCATGTCCACGCCCAGGACTCAAACCAGCAAAAACCCAGTGGAAGTGGGTTTCGGTGGAAGCAGAGCGCACAAACTTAACCACTCGGCCACGGGGCCGGTCCCAAGATTCTGCATTTCTAACCAGTTCCCAAATGCTACAAATGCTGCTAGTCTAGAGACCGTACTTCCAAGTAACAAGGATTTAGATAGTTTCTGACTACTCAAATTCTAATTTGCACTCTGCTCACCCTTCTTCACATTAACCCCCCAAACGCACATACCCTGGGTACGTGGTCAATTCTTCAGTTATTTGGGAAGATTAGCAAAAATTATGAACAATTATCTGACCACATG